CGACCCCGCACCCCCTGCCTCTCCAGCCCCCTCCGACCCCGCACCCCCTGCCCTGCACAGCTCACCTACCCCGCCGCACCCCCTGCCCCTCGAGCCCGGGCCGATCTCGCACCCCCTGCCCCCACCCAGACCGCACCCGTCTTCTGCCCCTGCACAGCACCCGCCAGCCCCACATGCGGGGTTACCCATCACCGTCTGCCCTTTCCCCCCGCCCGTGCCTGCCCTGCAGCGCCTCTGCCCAGCCTCGCAGCGCGGCCGGCTCCCTCGCTAGCATCCCCTGCCCGCAGCCGGGTCCCTGCCCGGCTCTGCCCGCCCCTGGGTGCGCGCTGGCCGCGCTGAATGACAGCTTACCTGCACGCCAATCTTCATCACACTGACACCGGCCGGGCCGCGCAGCCTATACTCACCGCCCGCCGCCGCGCGTCACGGCCCCGCCCGGCCCGGCCCCCGCCCCGCGCCGGCTCCCGCCTGGCTCCCTCTAGCGGGCCGGCCTGGGCCGCCGCTACCGGCGTGCTCCGAGCAGCGCGGCGGCGTCCGTCCCCCGCCCCATCCCGAGCCAGCCCATCGCGGAGACACGGGGCTGAGCCGGGCCAGCCCGGGCCCTCTTGTCGCGGGGCGCTCAGCTCACGCACTCCCCGTACCCGCCAAACAGCGGCCGGGTTGGGAGACTCCCAGGGCTGGGACTGGAAAACACATTAGCAGCAGGACAGTGCAGTGCCAGGGGCTCAAGCTCCCCAACCCTTTTGTTTGGTTTCCTATTTACTCCTTTCAAAGGGAATTTTAAAAATCTCATCCCACCCCCTAGATGTGGGTGAGCTGGAACAATGTGTATATTGGGGGTACTGAGAGCCAGGGAGCCAAACTGTAAACCCTGGATATAATGGAAAACCATAGGCGCTGGAACTACGGGTCCTGCACCCCCTGGCTTGAAGGGGTTCCCATCATATCCAGGGGTTACAGTTTAGTTCCATGGCTCTCAGCACCCCCACTATACACATTGTTCCAGGGCCCCGATGGAAACCACTTTAAGCAAGGCTGTGCAGCTGCACCCCTAGTTCCAACACCTATGTGTAGATGTTGTAAATGCTTCCCCTCCCCCACCCTAGATTTATTTATATATATATATATATATATAATGGAGCTATCCCATCTCCTAGAACTGGAAGGGACCTTGAAAGGTCATCGAGTCCAGCCCCCTGCCTTCGCTAGCAGGACCAAGTACTGATTTTGCCCCAGCTCCCTAAGTGGCCCCCTCAAGGATTGAACTCACAACCCTGGGTTTAGCAGGCCAATGATCAAACCACTGAGCTATCCCTCTGCTTTGACACATGCGCCCCCAGTCGCTTTACTGACAGGAAGTGCATTACTTTACACTCTGCTGCGTGCAAAATAATATATTGGAATTGTAAAAGAGAAATCAGTCCATTAAAAACTTCAGAAGGGAGATGATAAATTCTCTCTTCCGCCCTTCCTTTAAACAAAATGATTCCAGGATTTGCTCCTCCAAGGAGCAACAAAAATAGATAAACTAGAGAGTTTAATTCACAGGTCAAAGGTGTTAATTTCAGAAGTGTTCCTGATTGATTGTGAAGTCTATTAAATAGAGAGAGGCATCTGTGATAGAGTTATTTTTAAAACAATAACAAAACCGACACAAATCCAGTATAAAGTGATGCAGAGGTTGCACTAGGCGTGTATTTTAATAAATACAAAATCCCCTCACCCCGCACTAGTAGTGCCGACTGAATAATAATATCTATCGCATTATTTATTTGAACGATTTTGCAGCTTTTTAATTAAATTATTTAACAAATATTTGTTTCCCACTATTTACCCAGGCCTGGTAAATATCAAAGAAGAAATACTGCTCTTGGTTACAAATGCATGAACTTCTTAGACTTCAGTGTGGATTGCCTGTTCGTAGAATTTGACCTCTGTATCTACAGAGGGCATGAGTGCCTTACACTTGGGGTAGTCATTTATGCTTCTTCTGCAAAGTAGATGTAAAACACTGCCAGCTGCCACCAACAAGGGTCTGGGGAAGATTCTGATTTGGTTTGTTGTTTTGTACAGGTGGAAGTGACTGCACAAGATTCCAGGCAAGAAGTCGGGGCTTATGTAGCTTTTTCTATATTTTGATGTGGCACTGAAGGATTGTTAGTATACCTTGAATTTGGACAGACTGCAAAAGATTATTTGGATTCCACCACCACCACCCCACCTCTTCTTACAAGATGTAAATGTTTCTTTCAGGATTTTCTATGATATGCCAATATAGAACCAGAGATTTGAGATCCTCTGAAAAGTAAAGCATTGGGTCCTCTTTTCATTACTGTAAAACTGAACTACTTTGTCTACCTGAGGAATAGTTCCAAATTAATTCTGGGTGCTATTTTTTTCTAAAGCAGCAAAGAAGAAAATGATAAAACCAGCATCCAAAGAAAGGTACAGTATACACAGGGTATGTCTACACTGCAGTTAAACACCCCTTGCTGGCCTGTCAACTGACTCAGGCTTCTGCTGTGGGGTTATAAACTTGCAGTGTAGACAGCCTGAATGCAAGCTCTAGGCCTTTCCTCTCACAACCTCTTCTCCTCACACAAATCCACACTCCTGTATTTTTGTCTGGCTCACCTTAATTGTGGCTTGATCTTTCATTTCTTGTACCCAACATTCACATTGATTTTAATGGGAGTTTTTCATGTACAAAATGCTTCGTTCTGATGTTCACGCTTCCAGTGCACTTTTCTTCTCCAGCTTGAAACATTAGAAATATGATCCCTTTTTGTGATGGATCCAGCATTTTGTACATGAAAAACTCCCATTAAAATCACTGTGAGTTTTGGGTACAAGAAATGAAAGATCAAGCCACAATTAAGGTGAGTCAGAGATGACAGATAAATGAAGCATTTATTTTTATGGGAAATTGTCAAAAAGCGGGTTTGATCACTTGTGCTCACAGAACTGTTTTTTTCCTCATTTGTTTTCAGTATGTACAGTATCAAACAACATGAAATGTGGTATGGCAAAACAATGCAAGAATTATATACAGTAACTCCTCACTTAAAGTCATCCCGGTTAACGTTTCGTTGTTACGTTGCTGATCAGTTAGGGAACATGCTTGTTTAAAGTTGTGCAATGCTCCCTTATAACGTTGTTTGGCAGCCACCTGCTTTGTCCACTGCTTGCAGCTCGTTGTAGCTAGCTGATGGGGGCTCGGAACCAGGGTGGACCAGCAGCCCCCCTATCAGCTCCCCACTCCGCTAAGTTCCCTGTGCAGCAGCCGCCCAGCAGGCTACCAATTGCTGGCAGTTCAGCTGTTCCTCCCCCAACTGCCATGTGCTGCTCCTGCCCTCTGCCTTGGAGCTGCTCCCAGGAGCCTCCTGCTTGCTGTGCAGGGGAGGGGGGAAGAGGGTAGGGTTACCATACGTCCGGATTTTCCCGGACATGTCCAGCTTTTTGGTCCTCAAATCCCTGTCCGGGGGGAATTGCCAAAAAGCCGAACATGTCCGGGAAAATACTCCCAGCTTTGTTTTGCCGGCATCCCTGCCCCAGTCCCCTGCTTACCTTAGAGCGGCTCCGGCAGGCTGCGAGCAGCAGGCAGATTCCCCCGTGGTGGCAGCGGCGACGGCGGCTGCTGCTCCCCCCAGACACCGAGCTGCCCGAGCGCTACCGGCTTCACAGTTTGCCAGGCAGCCCCCAGACCTCCAGACCCTGCGCCCCCGGCTGGGCGCTTCCCCAGCGCAGCCGGAGCCCGGAGGGGAAGCGCCCGGCTGGGGGTGCAGGGTCTGGAGGTCTAGGGGCTGCCCGGCAAACCGTGAAGCCGGTAGCGCTCGGGCAGCTGTTTCGCATGGCTGGGAGGGAGGAGGGGGGAATGCGGGGCACTCAGGGGAGGGGGCGGAGTTGGGGTGGGGAAGGGGCAGAGTTGGGGCGGGGCCATGTGGTGGGGAAAGGGCGGGGCCAGGGCCCCCTGGAGTGTCCTCTTTTTTTATTGTTTAAATATGGTAACCCTAGAGGAGGGGAGCTAATGTCAGGGTGTCCCCCTTCCCCCTACTCCTGCCCCCTGCTTGTCCCTTCTCCATATAGAGCAGGGTGGGGACAGGACAGGGCTCAGGATGGAGAGAGCTTGCTGGCGGCAGCTGCTGTCTCAACTTCCTGATCTTTTTAAAGGCAATGTACTTAGAGTGATGTCAGTGTACTTAAAGGGGCAATGCGCATCTCTCTCTCTCTCTCCCATACACATAATGTGTCTCTCTGTCTCTGTCTGCCATGCTGTCTCCCCTCCCTCCATTCGTGCTGCCTTGTAAAGTGTGAGGCTACATTAACAACAATGAGTTAACCCTTCAGGGCTCAGCCGAATGCTAGTTCATCATTTAGCAGTAAGGCATTCCCTGGGAAATATCCCACCCTCTAACTTCACCACCTCAACCAAGTTTCACAGTCATCATTGCTGTGTACAGTATTAAATTGTTTGTTTAAAACTTATACTTTGTGTATATCTATCTATCTATCTAATATCTTTTTTTGTCTGGTGAAAAAAATGTCCCTGGAACCTACCCCCCCCCCCATTTACATTAATTCTTATGGGGAAATTGGATTTGCTTAGCATCATTTCGCTTAAAGTCGCATTTTTCAGGAACATAACTACTTTAAGCGAGAAGTTACTGTATTCTCAAATAGTTCAGAAGGATTGTAGGCAGAGCTAGAAGTTGCCTATAAATTAAGGTTGCCTAACACCTTCCATTGTAAGAACCTTTTTCAGATGATTTTAACTTTGCCAAATTTTAACCATTCAGGCTGCAATGTTCCTCGGGTAGAAAAAAGTTTTAGCTAAAATGGCTCTACTGTTTTCAGGAATGATGTGAGGGAAGAATATAGTGTTTTTGGCCATGTTACAAAGTCTTGAAGTCATTTAGATGCCACATGAGAGAATTCCCTTTAAAAAATAAACGTAGGAAATTACATTAAAAGGACATTAAGGATGCAAAGTCAAACACTCAAAATGTAGGAAATGCAAAATTAAAGTTGCCTGTGCAACTTTAATTCAGCTCCCTTGTGCACATGCATTATGATATAGTCTTTAATTACATGATCTCAGAGTATTTTTTCCAAAGTACCCCTACCTCAGTCAGTGTACAAGATGGGCAGTGCTCTGGGAGCAAATCAGGGTTGGATAGTCAAGGAGGCTGTTGTTTATAGGACCTCTGCCCCTAGGTGCCGACTTACCAAGTGGCCGGGGGCTGCTCCACCCCCGCTCCGCCCCAGGCCCCGCCCCCACTCCATCCATTCCTCCAAGACCCTACCCCAGCTACAAGGGAAGTCAATGGGAGCTGGGCTTTGAACATATAAAGTGCTAAGTACTCTGAAGAGTCAGGTCGTAGGTGTCTCAAGTTGGGCACCTAAAATTACTGGATATTTTTCACAATTTTGGTCTCAATCTCTCCGTGACTCAGTTACCCATCTGTAAAATGGGTACTATCACCTTTCTTCACA